AGGATAGACCCTATTTCAATAGTCAGCTGATACGGATTCCATTCACAGAATTAAACGTATATTATAATGGGTTAACTAATTACATTGGATACTTGACATTTCAAATATCCCATAGGAAAGAATATATAATTATGATAATAGAAATGAAAAGATATTAAGAATAATTAGAATTGAATAATTAACCATAAAAGGTTTTCTTCTTCCATAATTACATCATGAATAGGGTATTAATGATTGAAATAAACAATCAGTGCAATTAGAATTTATGGACTACCTTTGAGCGACGCTAAACTGATCTTAAGAGTGTTCATGTTATAACTTGTGACCACCGATTAGAGAGCAATGATTTATCGATCGGATCAATAATGTGTAAAACATATGCGAGCAGTCTAGAGTCTTGATTGGTCCTGTTTTCCGCCTAGACCAGCCAGTTAAGTCCAGAACGTTAACCTCAGCCTCTGTGATACGAATCAGGCATTTCAAACATACTGAGTTTATATTACCAATCAAACAGACGACGACCTACCAATAAAATATGCAATAACATTTGTACAAGAATTAGCCAGATGTGGCTGTGAATGAGGGAGGTAGAAATTAATATACTGAGTATAACTCAAGAATGGTAAAACGTATAATGATAGTTTATGGGTCAAAATGAAGCTTATGATAAGAGGAACATGAATATGAATAGTTTAGTTACTTAATCATTATAAAACAGTATTGGTCCATCAATAGATCCCAAAAGTTACCATTCATTACGTTTCTCGGGACCTAACAGTTCACCTAATAACTAAAACCAAATGAAGGTTATAAACCAGTGTATGAGGAATTAGAATGATGATTTACACTTGATGGTTAAAGTTTTCATCATGAACTGATATCAGCTATAATGCCAAAACTTTATTTAATCAAATTAGATGAGTGAATTTCGCGCCAAAATCAAAGATCTGCTATCTTATACCTGATTGATTCGTTCATAAATTATAGTCTCATCAAGATAATTCGTTTTTATGTCTCATTTATAAAATATAATTATTTCTATTTATTTGGAAATATCAGTCAGTCAGTCAGTCAACTACAACGTAAGACCAGGCACATATGTGCATCGGTCCACGATGCCATACCGCATCAGCACAACAAGATGAACACCGGATTCATAGCAGTGGTTAGGTCAAAGGTGGTATTATATAAAAGAAAGATTGCATATAAGGATATAGTACAGGAAGAAAGAATTAGTTGACAGCAAGAAAGATATGAAACAATTTTAGTCTCACAGTTTAAGGGAAGACAAAGAGTGTATACACCTACGCCATTGTGATCGATTCTGAGCCATGTCACACACAGTCTACAACCATTGGTTACGATAGTCACGCGGACCCCAACCAAGTAGTCTCCATCTACCAACATGGCTCTGACTAGAAGTTAGTGACTTGAAGCACTGATGCCACATTTTGGTTTGGCCTCCCCTAACTTTCTTCCAACCATCTCCAAAACCGGTTAGCATTACACGTCGTGGTAATCGGTGTTCAGGCATACGTAACACGTGTTCCAACCATCTCAGTCGATGAAGATTCATAACCTCATCAACTGATTTACTATTATTCCCTAATACTCTGCGTCTAACCTCACTATTACTTACTAGGTGATCCCAGCAGACGCCAGCAATATTTCTGAGGCATCTGTGGTCAAATACTAGTAGCTTACAAGTGTGTTTATATATATATATATATATATATATATATATATATATATATATATATATATATATATATATATATATATATATATACTGATCTTACTAAAATCTGGCCAAACCGACCTACTAAAGATCTTGTTAATAAGTATCAAGAACATGTAAATACTCTTGATGTATTCATGAAATATTTCTGAATGTTTATAACAAAAAAAGTAAATTTTTGGATTGGAAAGAGGATAACAGTCGAAATCACCTATCAAATGTAAATCTGACAATAACAAAAAGAGATACTATCGGTAAAGTACTGGTTAAATGCTCAGTGATCTAACAGTTAAGCGTTCACGCGTAAGACCGTTAGTTCCTAGGTTCGAATCTCGCGAGGTCAGATCATGGATGCGTACTGGTTAGAATAGTGGTAGATAATGATTGTTATAAAAAACCTTCTATGCATTATTTTCCTAATATATACAAGTTAATAGATACAAGACAGGAACGCTAAATTCAGTTCCTAAGCTCTTCTAATACCCCACTCCAAAGCTAAATCTATACATCAACATGAACATGAGTATAAAGGCAAGAAATTTGGAAGAAACGCTACACTCCAAAGTTCGTTTATGTACAGAAAATCTAGACTATTCATAGCATTTTAGATAAGTCATGGGCTTTCGGAAAATTCCGGAATGCTACCAAACATAATAGCAGTATAAATTATCATCCAATCAGAAACGTGACATGCCAAAAAGAAGGCTCTGAAAACGCAGGGAACCATCTTATCTAATTAGCATTCAATAGAAGTTATGCCAGAAACATCTAGAAAGTGAAAAGTCGTATGTCATGCTTCTGACTGGATGATTATTTATACCGATTTTATGTTTAGTAGCATTCCAGAATTTTCCAAAAGCCCATGACCTATCTAAAATGCTATAAATACTCTAGATCTTTTATACATAAACGAATCTTTGAAGTGTAGCGTTTCTTCCAGATTTCTTGCCTTTATACTTATATTCATGTTGCTGTGTAGATTTAACCTGAAATTTACTAAATGAGCTCAGGAAACTGAATCTAGAGTTCAATTGTGTTGACTTATCACAGCCAAAGTGAATTAATGAGCAAGATATTTCATAAACTAGAAAACATATCTACAAATTGTAATAATGGAAAAACAATTCACTTGTTTTTCACTAAAGATTTATAACATTGTTAAAACGAATATCTAGATTCAATTGTTTGAATTCAATTAGTCAGTTTTAAAGCAAAGATAGATAGTGGCTAGTAGTGGAATCCAGGGCGTGCGTTACGTCCTATTTTGGACTCATCAGCTGGATGTACCTGCATCGTAGATTTGATGTTGATTCCGCTTCTAACCACTGTCCATCTTTGCTTAAAAAATCTTGTGACTTAAGGCTATATCGAGGCAATTTGCACATGATCCACATATACCAACATGAGATTGATCAATTGCAGTCCTAAATAACAATGGGAAAATACATGTGAAACAACATCAAGTGAATTCAATTAGTCACTGAGTTGACTATTATAGCAACCAACTGATTGACCAAGCCTATGAACAGATAAATAAGGAATAGAATCCCTAAAATTATTAATAACAAGAAGATAAATTGATTCAAATATTACAATGAGGACTTGTTTAAATGTGTATGCGTTTATGATGAATTTAAATACATAAATATTGGTAAAAAGAGGTACCGAGTACATACACGTCACACAAGTCATTTGATTTGTGTGTGAGCTGTGATACTATCCGGGTGCCCAAACCGAACCACGTGCTTTTATTAGGACGCCACACTTGGAGCCTTCGATCTGTAGGTATAATCCACAGAGCAGTAGAGCAAAGTTAGGAGACGCAGTCCCATGGTAATTGGCGACCAACGATTGGTCCATACACCATTTGTTCCTCCAGAATCTTGGAGCTGATGCTCACTATTATTTTCTAATCACGGTTTTCCAAGTAACTCCCCAAGGTGGATCCTCCATATCCACCAACCCGGTTAAAGCACTGAACATCTGGATTTTGTCCTCTCAGTTTCGTGGACAACGGTACCGCCACGAGAATTCTGTGAGTACTACTTCCCTGACAGTGGTTGTATAAACGTGTTCATATGAGAGCATTTCAAGAGGAAGAGCGGACTTTCTAGATATCGGCCGTACTAAAACATTTAGGGGTAAATTCACACCAAAATCAATTAAAGTTATAAGGATTATTATGTGTTTAGTTTTTGTATGTATAGGGTTTAATCGATTTCATAATCATTCAAGATGAATAACATGCAAAGTGTAGTACAGATCGACTGAAACTGAGAATCTAAACTAACACTAACAAAGTGATAAAATGTCATCTTTGTGAAATATAAATGTTTTGAAATTGAAATTATTCCACGTTCTAAGGATCTGTGCTTGATAAGTCGCCAGTTGTGATTAGTAGTCGCATGGTTTTCGTAAGATTACTCAAAATAACACAAGTTTATTAAGTTGCATAAACTTTTAGTGATATACCTGAACCTTATGTTTGAAATTACTGTAATTTTCCTTATTCTAATACTGTGAAAAGCACAAACGAGTGGAGTTATCAGTATAGAATCGTGAATAATGTTAGTTATTTTTGGAGATCACGAACTGAGTTAATTTTAACAGCCACTGGCAGCACAGAAGTACTAGACAGCCGTTTCATACGCGTATCGAACTCTTCAGTGATGCATATCCACGGATATACAACTAGATCTTGAATCTGCAACCTTCCACTTTGTTCACAAACGCGTAACCGCTAGACCATTATGCCAGAACCCAGTGGTGCATGTGTTTAACCCTAGTCAGTTCGATATACTGAAGATTGTGTGATTATAGATGTATAATGCTGAGCAATTTTATACTAAAACAGAACGGCTGTCTAGTGTTTCCAAGTTTTTTAATGATTCCCTAACCTTGATCGGTTCGTGATCTGAATAAGATTGAGTTATCATTCCTAATCAATATTAGTCTGGTAGTTTTTTTCAAGATAACATAGTTAGTCAGCTCTTAATGGCATGTAAGCACTTTTAGCAGATAATTCGATTTGATCTTCAATAATAAATTGACCGTATTTCGGATAGTTGTTGGTTAGTAAGGTCTGGGATGAATACTTCTTAGCTGAGGCTCATCAGCCACCATTATATCTATAATTCAACGCTAGGTTTAGCACTACTACTTGTGTGACTTATTTCATCATGATATTCAATAACGTGTCCAATGTTAGTGTCCTAGACGCTATCTTCTTCTGAATTCCTTCTCTTTGTTTTTATATATTCAGGCATAGAAGATAAAGAATTTCATTTTGATATATGTCAATTATATAAATCATCTGTATGTAAAAATGGTCAATGTATACCACGTGGGAACACATATGAATGTATATGTAATGAGGGTTTTGAACCGTCAGAAGATCGTAAAACATGTCAATGTAAGTTATTTAATTAGTCTTTATTAATGGCTTTTTCTATTCATCAACCTTACAAAGTGTATACTTATTATTCAAAAGTCCATACAATAATAAGTTAGCCGGTGGCTAACAGTGCTATTCAAGATACGTGTTTCGTCTCATTTGAAACTCGTCAACTAGATATACCTGTATCACAGAGTTCATGTTCACTTCAGGTCTTCAGCCCAGTATTGTTGATCATGCAACTCTGTAACTCGAAGCAATCCGCACAGAATACACCATTTATATGTCAATAAGATTTAAAACCAACTAATACCAATAAATTATATACAACATTGTTGGTTTCTTTTTTTGTTTGTTGTAGAATAATGATGAAGAGGTATATCCATTAGACAGTAATTGTTAATTATTACAATTTTTGGACACTGATTACCTTATCAGATGTTAAACAAAAACAAAACAGTTTCAGTCCAAGAAAAAAGAAAAAACTAATCAACTACAAATAAAAAAATTTTTCACCTTAATAACAAAAAATAGTTTCCTTGTTGTTGTTCTCGTTGTTGTTGATGTTGTTGTTGTTGTTGCTATCTTATTGATGATGTAGTTACCATGTGTAGGTGAAACATTGAAATCTATTTCACACATATTTTCTCTTATTTTCAATAGAATAATAAACTAGTTATCATTAAAGTAAAGAAAAAGAAAAGAAAAGAAAAAAAGAGAAAAAGAAAAATGACAATGATAATAATAATCATGATTATTTAGTTAAGTTTAATGATAGTCTGTTGGATAAAGAATCATATTCATGTTGAACATACGTTCTAGATTTGTGTAAATAAAGGAAAAATAATCAATAATGAATAGATTTAAGGAATGATTATTTCAACTAAGATTATGTAATAACCAACATGGAAAACTTAGTAACACTGGTGGTTCTAAGTAAAGATGGATAGTGGCTAGCAGTGGAATCCAGGACGCGCGTTTCGTCCTGTTTGGGACTCGTCAGCTGGATGTACCTGCATCTCAGAGAGTTGATGTTCACTCTGGGACTCGAACTCAGTACCGTTCGCTTCAAACGGCATCGCGTTATCCACTTAGCTACTGAGCCTCGATAGACTGATCAATTTCATTCCTAAAACATCAATGGGAAGATTCAAGTAAAACAATATCAAGTGAATTAAACTTCAACCCATTGCACAAGCAAGTGGTTATCAGGACTCGGTAGCTAAGTGGATAACGCGTGGCGTTTGAGGCGAACGGTCCCAGAGTGAACATCAACCCTCTGAGATGCAGGTACATCCAGCTGACGAGTCCCAAACAGGACGAAACGCGCGTCCTGGATTCCACTGCTAGCCACTATCCATCTTTGCTTATAATGCTTGTAAATTAAGGCAATATTGAGACATACGCACATATGCCAATAAGAGACTGATCAATTTCAGTCCTAAAACATCAATGGGAAGACTCAAGTAAAACAATATCAAGTGAATTAAACTGGTGGTTCTAGTTTCAATTAACTCATGATCTTAACTATTGAAATTATGATAATATTCAGTAAAACCCCTTCTGTCTTATATGAATCAACATATACTCACTAGTGACGGTCTTCAAGAGGTATTTCATATAGTTCTAATGAGAAACAGTAACCAGTGGAGTTTAACCAGGTCTATTATGATATAATAGTAACTTACTGAAGACAATAGTGGATGTATCGCTCAATTTTGTGGATAAGTTGAAGTTAGATATTGACACCATTGGATACCTATCAGCTCAGTGGTCTGATGGTTAGGCGCCCGCGCGTGAGACTGATAGGTCCTGGGTTCGAAGCTCGTGAAGCGGGCACGTGGATGCGCACTACTGAGGAGTTCCATAATAGGACGAAACCACCGTCCAGTGATTTCCGGTTTCGCATAGTGTTTTAGCTTCAACTGACTCATGATCTCAACTATTGAAATTACTACAATCTTAACAAAGCTCTTTCTGAAATTAAATCTTTATTCAATGATTTTTAATGTTTTTTAATAGATAAAGTTGATATTTGTTCTGTTCATCGAGGATATTTATGTACTAATGGACATTGTATACCAGCTGGTCGTGATTTCTTTTGTGAATGTAATCCCGGTTTCACTTTATCCTATGATCGTAGAAGATGTATGAGTAAGTTGATTTATAAGATCTAATTAATTTATAATTATATGTAAATAGTTTAATTGAAAATGATTATTGTCCCTCTATACAATGTCAACAATTGTTACTGGAATGAGTAGTGAACATTTAGATCATTCAAGTTATACTCAATATATACTACTAACATACACTCCGTATTAGAAACTGAAATCCTGTGAAAACTATTTAGTATATAAAGAATACAGTTCCCAATTATCTTGCCGAGGGTAAAGAGAATTAGCTCTCCGTCTCCGAATGCTCTCAAATGGCCGCGTGTATACGGCCACTTTCAGGGGAGTCGTACTCACTGAATTATCCTGACATTACTGTTGTTTACGAAATTGAGAGGACGAAAAGCAAATGTCCGATGCTTTAACGGGGTTAGTGGATATGGAGGATCTAGATAGAAGAGTTGGAAATCCCTATTTTTAAACCAATGGTGCACATGAGCTTCAGGATCTTAAAGGAAAAAATGGCGTGTGTACCAACTGTTGGTCACCGACTATCATGAGACTGCGTCTCCTTACGTTACTTCACTGTCGTGTGGATTAGACCTAGGCTCGGGTTGTCGTCTTCAAAGAAAACGAACTGCTTCAGTTATGGCACTTGGTCAGTATCATAGCCCTCACACAAATCAATAATAGTTGCTACTGGCTTCATTGTTGCTGTGTGGCGCATGTCTGTTTAGTACCCGTATGTATCAATGCTTATGTGTTAAAATAAATAAAATAATAAACTTAAGGAATACGAAATATTTATTTGATTTTTAGTTATAAATACTGATTATCAATAGACATGTCTCATGATAAATAACTCAGACTTCTATCTTTATTAGTCAAGATAGTAAACCCAACTAAACAAGGTTAGTTATCTCAAGTTAAAGCACTATGCAGATGTATTCTGATGTCAAATGTTTCAGCTGAAATGCTTTAGGTAACAAAACTTTTAAGATAGAAGATTTACGAATGATTTATGATTTTACGAAGAATATCCTTTCAGATGAAACAAAAAGGTATGAAACACTAATAACAAAATCTTAGTAATTGAATTCATGAGTCCATCTAAGCTACACCACCATTGAAAACATAAAAGCACTGGACACTGTTGGATACCGGCTTAGTAGTCTAAAGGTTAAGTGGTCGTGAGCGTGACCGAAGGCTTTGGGTTTGAATCTCGCGTACAGAATCGTGGATGCGTACCGCTGTGGAGTCCTACACAAAGACAAAACAGCCGTCCAATGACTCCAAGTTTTTAATGGTAGTCTAGTTTTAATTGATTTATGAATTCAATTGTTAAATTTATCACAATCACCACAAACCCCATTCTGATAATAACAAAATCATCACTTAGTGAGTATCAGATTATCTCGTAACACATGATAAGTTAGTGGGGAAAGGTTAGGATATCTCAGTTTTGCTTTCAATAAGTAAAAGACAGAAGACAAGTGAAAGGATTACTATTTTAAACACTATCAAATGTGGTACAAAACGTTCAGGTATTTATAGTGTTTTTAGTAAAAACGAAATCATCATTATTGTCATCCAATCCGCATACGAGAGGTTATTAGCACTTGTTCAATAGGGAAGCTACACGTAGGAATTCTGGAATATCCTTTCAAAAGATGATTGAGTGGAATATTTCCGGCTCTTTATGGAACTCTTAGAGTTTCCTCGCATTCACTCGTGGGTCGTCCTTACATATATATACAGTAGTTGTTTTGATAAGCTTTTGAACAGTTGGATTATAATTGACAGTGGAACATAAGACTTGAAGGGCAAATGTACTTGCATCCCAGTGTTAATGTTCACACAGATAACTGAATCTAGTACATTTCATTTTATTAAGTGTATATCCATTTGTTTTTTGCATATTCATTTACAGGTAAATGTGAAGAATTGGGACCAAGTATTTGTCCAAATGGTTATTGTATTGCTTTGTCAAATGGTGATTATGAATGTCAATGTGAATTAGGTTATCAAAGTACACCGGATCATAAAAAATGTATCATGCAAATGGAAGAACGTGAGTAAATATTTTTTTGACATTTACATTATTCATATTTAAGTAGTGTTTAAAATATCTAGATCCTTATATTGTACTTTAGCTTAGGGTAGATATTTAAAGAATAGATGAAATCTGGCTAGGATTGGAATCTAGGATGTTCCTTTCGTTCCAGTTGAGACTCATCAGCTCGAGTTAACTACATCTTAGATTTTTCATTTCACCCGGGGACTCAAAGCCAGTACCATTTGTTTCAAACATCATCGCATTATACATTTGATTACTAATGTATCTATGTTCAACTGATGAATCCTAAATAAGACGAAGCAGCATCTTGGATTCCAGTGTTAAACATATTCCATCTGTTCTATACTAACTTGTGCCACAATCCTCATAGGATGCATATAAGCCAACTAGAAATGATCAATGTAAGGGTGGAATATCAACAAGGGGATAATCTAATCCATTTCAAATTGAAGTTAATATTTATGTTGAAAAATATTAAAGATTTAGCCTGATCTGAATGTTTGAAATCGCATAGTTTTCAGTAAGGCTACTCTTATATTTGTTATCATATGAATGATATCTTGACTGATAAATTTCATCAAATAGTCTCTTATTATCTTGAAACAATGTATGCAATTATAAGTAAAGATGGATATTGACTAGCAATGGAATCCAGAGCATGCATTTCGTCCTATTTCGGACTCGTCAGCTGGATGTATCTGCATCCTAGAGTTGATGTTCACTCCGGGACTCGAATCCAGTGCCGTTCACTTCGATAACCATCGCGCTATCCACTTAGTTACTGAGTTCTAATAACCACGTGCTTGTGTAATGGAGTGAAGTTTAAATTCAGTTGGTATTGTTTGCTTATATCTTCGGATTGTTGTTTAGGACTGAAACTGATCACTCTCTTGTTGACATATGTGTGTTCTATATTGATTGCCTAGATATTGGCTTAAGTTACAAGCTTTATAAGCAAAGATGGATGGTGGCTAGCAGTAGAATCAAGGATGGCTGTTTCGTCCTACTTGTGTGTGTATGCATGTGTTCACCTTATAAAATATGGGATTATGAACTGTTTATGCGTTTGATCATTTCGTCCAAGTTTTAATCGTCTACGGTTAGCGTGTTTGATTAAATAATGACAAGACTATAATTTATGGACGATCTTTGAACGAACCTTAAGTGACCTTAAGAAATATTAGCCAATCAGAGAATAGTTAGTATAGAGTAATAACATATAATACAAAACCAATGAATTAAAGCGGATACACTTCTTTTACATGCTTCAAAAACTTTTCAAGGTTAGAAAGAGGTTCAGAGGTTCTAAAATCCTAATGCATGAAGTAGAGGAAACCATTCATATGGCTACAGAATAGTCGGCCTCTGGAGCAATGATAAGGTCGCAAAATTTCTTTCAGCCTCGATCACATAGCTTAGATATTGTTTGCGTGCACTCCGGTTATCGGGTCCACAAAATGCCGCTTGCAGACACCGATATGATGCACACAATCTGCATCTGTACGCTCCTTAATCATCCGTATATATTGTATTACCTGGCTGCAGCCAATGTTATAGGTGCTTTTATTATCCAGTTCTCAATTTGCCTTAGTCTCAATCTGAATCGAGCGAAAAACAACCTATTCTAGCAGACTTCATTCGCTGGCACATATTACATCGAAAGATAACATCACGTAATCTGCACAAGTCATGTGATTACAACAATCACAAATAAAGGAATTTCTTAGTAGTCCTATTTGTTGTGGTCCCTCAGTTATCGTCTGTGAACCGATCGTACGTACGTATCAGATACTGAAATTATCGCTATGATCTTGAATTCCCTCAAATGCTTATGCTTGGCTCATTCATAAATTATAGTCTCTCCAAAAGAGTTTACAGTACAAAATATACAAAATCGTAGCAAAATTCTTATTTCATAAGTATTTAATTTGTAAATATCCAAAACTTATGTAGAAAACGTTATTCAACAATGATAATTAGCCTCTATCCATGGATGAATATCCACAACTGTCAACAATCATTCTTGCTTCTATAATATTTGATGTATGAACTATATTGTATATCATACTGGTATCTCTAGAAGATAGAAGTGAAGAGAAATATACAAACCGTTGTGATGGAACTTCATCAGAAACTGACATCAGCTGTAATGCCTGAAATCTATTTAACCAAATGGATGAAAGGCATTGGCGTTAAAATCCGAGATCTTTTATCTTATACTGGATTGATTGGTTGACAAATTATAGTCTCGCCGTTTTATTTGTTATAACCGCTCAATTATCACGTTTTGTACGAAATTCCCCGTGAACCGATCGTACGTTACCGTTAAGCATTGAAGTTGGCACCGTAACCTTGAAATCTCTAGTACGCCTCTGATTGACTCGTCCATAAATTAGTCACCGTAAATACTTCATTTACAAAATGTTAACCATTTGTCTCAGGATTCATTATTCCTGCTTTCCCACATCAATCACTCTCTGTTCTCGTTCTCTTCTATCCAATTTTCTTCACCTTCTACCATCAGGCATTTCAGTTTCTCATTGATGATGCATACTACTTATATCTGTTGACATCAGTAGCAAACACGACAGTTGATATTCCATTGTAACTGGGATTTTTTATCTAATTCATCTAAACTTGACCTCATTTAGTTTAATTAAGAAAATCACTTCTCATATTATACTCCCAATTTTGTTCTTCGTTATTCTTTTTTATTTCTTTTTTCGATGAAACAGCTAATTCGAATGTACATTTTGCAAAATCTGTTCAATATTACAAAAATAGTTACTATGGTAACAAAGAAAATGAACTTTATGAAAATCCAGTAGAAATGAATAAACCACAAATTGATCATTCTGAAGTTGATGGTTAGTTTAAAAATCTGTATATATGTGTATATGATGAGTTATTTGAATTTTGAATTATATACCTATAGATTGTTTAGTTGGTTATAACACTTTGATTCTGGCACCCAAATGTAATAGTTAAGTTGAGGGTAGGGAGTGTTAGCTCACTCTTTCGAAATGTTCCCACATGGCAACGCGTATTTAGTCACCACCAAGGAAGTCCTATTCACTGCCTTTTCGTGGAGGCGCTGTTGTTTACGAAATTGAGAGGACGGAAAAAGAATGTCCGGTGCTTTAACCGGGTTGGCGGACACGGAGTGTGCACCTAGGGAAGTTACTTGGAAAACCCTGATTCTAAAATAATGGTGCACATGAGCTCCAGGATCCTGAAGGAACAAATGGCGTATGGACCTAATGTTGATGACCGTCTATCATGGGACTGCATCTCCCTACGTCGCTCCACTGCCTTATGGATTAGACCTTCAGGTCGAAGGCTTGTGGTATGGACCCCTAAGAAAACCACGTGGTTCAGTTTGGTTACCTTAGCAGTATCACAGCGCATACACAAATCATGTGTACATATGTACATTTTGTATCTGATATATTTTGGAAGTATCTAAGTTACAACTAATTCACCACTTTAACATATAACATTGTTTGATTCACTTGTATTTGATTTATTTTCAGATCATTGTCATACATTAATGATGAACTTGTAACTGTTAAGTCGATTGATGAGCAACTATTCACTCCGATATTTCTTATTTCGGATACCTGTATGAATAAAATAGCTACTAATAATGATATTGAGATAGTGTATGTATCCGTGAATGTGTAGCGAATTCACTTTCTAATCTTCAATATATCTAATAACTAACATGAACTAACTAGTTGCGCATTATAAGAGTATAGTTTTTACGATGGAATTGATTTCATCAAGCTTTGACTTTCACTTTTTCTAAGTTTTTCATCAACCAAGTTTAAACACACCACAGTGTCATGTTCATAGAAGATATACATAGATGACTTTCGATGGATACAATCGAATCTTCAGTGAAAATCAAACTCTTATATGTGCTATTCACCCATTAAATGAACGTAAAAATATTTGAAAACTGGTAAAGATTGTACTTTGATTGAACGCTAACAGGATAATGATTGTCATCACACATTATATTTATGTTCATAGTAACCTGAGACAAATTATAACAGCATTTAGTAATCACTTTTAAAGCAAAGATGGATAGTGTTTAGCAGTGAAATCGACGACGCGCGTTTCGTCCTGGATTCCACTACTAACCACTATTCATCTTTGTTTAAAAAGCTTGTTACTTAAGGCTGTATCGAAGCAATCCGTTCAGGATGCACATATGCCAACATGAGACTGATCAATTGTAGTCATAAATAAAAATGGGAAGATACAAGTAAAACAACACCAAGTGTATTAAGTAACCACTTTTTCAAATTTTTACATTAAAATCAATATGGATTGAATCTTGGAAACTGTATGCACACTGTTGATATGTCTAGAATGCTGTATTGTTAAAAAAGCAGCTATTCAGTATAGAGGAATATAAATAAACGTGAAGTCTTTCTACATTAGCGTTAAATTGCTTGTTTCAGAATTACAATAGTTGAGATCATGAGTCAGCCCCTTCTAATATGAATCAACATATGCTCACTAGTGACTGGTTTCAAGCGGTATTTCCTGGAATTCTAGTGAGAAGTAGTGGTCAGTGGAGTTCAATCGTGTCTGCTGTAAGATAGTAACTCACTGAAGACAATAGTGGATGTGTCACTCATTTTTGTGGATTAGTTGAAGTTAGACATTAACATCATCGGATACCGACTCAATGGTCTAAAGTTTAAGCGTTCGCGTGCCAAGTATTACTTACTTAAGCCTGTCATCCCTGGTGGAGGAGAATAGGCCGAACACCAGGATTCTCTAATTCAATCCTTTCTAGTTCTTTCCAGTTGCTATCTATCCTTTCTATGTCTGCTTTCAATTCTCGACGCAGTGTGGCCTTCCTCTATTATGTTTCCCTTTAGAATTCCAAGTTAGCGCTTACCTCGTGATGCAGTTTGGTGATTTCCTCAATATATGTCCTATCCACTTCCAACGTCTCTTCCTGATTTCGGCCTCAGTTGGAAGTTGGTTTGTTCACTTCCACATTAGGCTGTTGAGAATAGAATCCGGCCAACGAACATTCAATATCATGTGTAGATAATTGTTTATAAATACCTGTACCTTAGTGATGATCGTTAAAGTAGTTCTCCGAATTTGAACTCCATACATTAAATCTGTTTCGATGTTTGTATTGAAAATTGTGACTTTGTTGCTGGCTGACAGTTGTTTTGAGTTCCACATGTTCTTGAATGATAGGAATTCTTCCCTTTCTCTAAAAAATTTGTACCTTCTCATCTACATCAAATCCTCCTTGGTTATCAATGGTGCTATCCAGGTACGTAATACTTCTCACCTCTCTTAGAGCTCCACTACTAAGTGTAATTTGGTTGGTGCTGGCTGTGCTGTATTTCGGGATTTCGGTTTTTCCCTTGTGTAGGTCGAAGTCTATTGCTATAGAGTCTGCTGCTACATTGGTTGTCTTCATCTGCATTTTTTAATGTATATGAGATAAAAGAGCTAGATCATCGTCTAGCCGCATCCAAACTATCAACTGGATTTTGTGCTTCGCCCCACATATGGAGGTCTTCATAATCCAATCAGTCACTGGAAGAAAGAGAAGTGGTGAGAGTAAGCATCCTTGTCTGAAACCGGTCCTTACTTGGAAAGAGTCTGTCAGTTTTCCTCCATGCGCCACTTTTCAGTGTAGTACATCAATATCAATTCCGGATGATGTTGACGATTTTCTCAGGCACTCCTTAGTGTCGAAGAAGTTCCTATAATGTCCTCCTATCCATACTGTCAAATGCTTACTCATAATCAAGGAAATTGATGTCTAGTGACGAGTTCTATTCAACTGATTGTTTAAATATGATATTCATATAAATCTCATTATTCAATTCATCCATAATCAAATGAATAGGCAGAAGGAACTTTCTTACATATTCCAATCAATTTATATTTAACACAAAAAACATTATCGGTATCAAAGTTAAAATTTGACTTGAGTATTGGGTGACAAAGTTAATAATCAATAGATGATTTTGTTATATCTTAATGAGTAGAAACATTGTATTTTTGATGATGTTTCGTAACTTCATGTGACTCACTTCATCAGAGTAAACGAATAAGTAATCGAACATTAAATGAACACAAGTTGAATTAGTACAAAAGAAACAATATAGAATATTTTTGATATAATTGTGATGTGAGCTACTTATATCCACATAATTAGTATATAACGATAGTCATGAATAGAATGTATTTCAGTAGAAGATGGAAAAGGAAGGTAATGATTATTAAAATGCATGAACAGTGAAATCTGAGACAATCGACTGAGATTTGCAAAGGGGAATCGTAAAGTTTGAGACAATTAATTGATAAATTACAAATTAACTATTTACTTTATGGTTCTCAGATTCTAGTGAGATATTCCGTACATTCAAGTACATTCGTGTTGTGACTTTATGATCCGCTAGTTATTACATAATTTAGTCGCCAATCAAAATACGACTTATTCGCTCTTGTACTGTACTAAATCAATGACGTTCGTCCGGTTTCATCAGTCTATCGTCCTATTGGTCCCTTGCTCGCCTAGCTCGTCCACTTGAGTCCAGAACACCATTACCAGGTTCCACTATGACAGTTGATTCATTTATTTCAGACATACTGGGTTTATATATCAACCAAACAGACCTCAACGCACCATAAAATAGGAAGTAACTTTCATACACAATAAAGCCAAAAAGTGACTGTGAACGTGGGAGACTGTAATCAACAAACTGAACATAACTTAAGAATAGTAAATTGTACAAGAATAATCTATATGTCAAAATCAAGCTTTTAATAAGAGGAATATAAATATACACAATCTAATTATTGAATAGTTATACCATAAGAATACATAGATAATATTAGTCCATTATTAGTTCTCAGAGGTTACTCGTAATTTAATCTTCTCTAGGATATAACAATCCGATTGTTCCCGCTCGTGTCCTTGTTCACTGCATTTTTTATTTTTTTATTTATTTATTTTAACACATGGATATTGGTACAATGAGACACCAAATACATATGCGCCGCACAAATCTCATTCGATATGTGTGAGGGCTGTGAGACTGCCTGGGTGCCCAAACCGAAGCAGGTGGTTTTCTTAGGGGGTCACTCAACGAGCCTTCGACCTGAAGGTCTGATCCACAAGGCAGTGGAGCAACGTCAGGAGATGCAGTCCCATGGTAGCCAGTAACCAACAATTGGTTCATACGCCATTTGTTCCCGCAGGATACTGAAGCCCATGTGCACCATTGGTTTGGAATCCGGTTAAAGCTCCGGACATTTGCTTTTCGTCTTCTCATTTTCATAAACAACAACCCCGCCACGAGAAGGCAATGAGTAGGACTTCTCTATCAGAGGCTGTATACGCGTGGCCATGTGAGAGCATTTCAAGAGAGGGAGCGGACTCTCCCCACTCTCGGCCGTACCAAGGCATTCAGGGCTGTAACTTAATTACAATCATAATAAATCTGAACATGTCCGAAGAAGTGATTTGGTTTAAGTGACGAAATGTCGTCAACAATACAATGTTATTACTCATTAGATTTTCACAAAAATATAAACTATAATTTATGAAATAGTTTTATAAATATAATATATGTATGTATATATGAATAGGATACTCATTTCTTGCCAAGTCTATTATAAAGTGTTTGTAATATGGCAAGCAAAGACTAGATAAAACCCACATAGGAAACTGTAGTAATAATAATAATAATAACAGAAAGAAGAAAAAGAAGAAAAAGAGAAAAAAGAAAAAGAAGATAAAGAATAAACTAAACATTTTGTCTATTAATTCAATTACATTTTTTTCTACTCTTTTCCATCATCTGAAATATACAGAATGCCAAAACAAAAACAAAAAAAAGAAAGAAAAAGAGAGAAAAACTTAGAGAAAGAAAATATTACAGAGAAAAAATTATGATGATAATAATTACATTACTAGTAACCTTTTCTTACAATAATGATTATTGATTAGATATTACTTATTATTATTATTATTATTCGTATGGTTTGTTTCCAAGTTAACAAAAAGAAAGGGATGATGTAATGATACCCGTTTTAAATACATAACTATTCATATATGTATATAGAATATTGAAGAATGATACGCTTGCCTTCAATATACACTTGTACAAAACATAGGGATATGAATGTAAAATAGGAATAATAATAGTAATAGTAATGGTAATAGTAATAATAATAATAAGGGTAATAATACTATGGTATGATCTCGTTCTTTCAAGCAACTTATATAATTCACCATTATAAGTTCTAATCTAAGTACATAGATATATATACATAATAATGAGAATTTCAAGTTTCCCATTTTTTATTCCCTAGCAAAAAGAGAATGTGATAGTTAGTGTTATTATTATTATTTTATAGTTTTGTACTAAAAATTATACATTGATATTAGGTCATTTCAATGGTTATCAGTATAGGGGTTGTGGAGATTATGAAGTTTTTGATTAAAATAATGAAATGATTGATGTTAAATCATCATTGAAAACCTGGAAGCATTGAATGACTGTTTTTGTCCTATTATGAGACTCCTCAACAGTGCTCATTTACTAATGACTAGGTTTGTGAGGGAATTCTCGTAGTTCTAGTGAGAGGTGGTGATCAATGGAGTTAATCCGTTTCGGGTAGAGACAGGTATCTACGTCAGTACAATGGATGATGGTCACGCAATTTCGTGCATTGTTTGTGGTTAGACACTAACACCATTTGATGCCGACTCAGTGGTTCAGTAAGTTGAGTGTTCGCGCACGGAACTGAAGGCCCTGGGTTCGAATCTCACGAGCGAGATCATGAATGCGCACTGCTGAGGAGTCCCACAATAGGACGAAATGATCGTCCAGTGTTTCCAGGTTTTCAATGGTGGCCTAACATTGATCGCTTTATGATTTAAATTTCACCCTGTTTGTAAACGTGTAAATGTGTTTTTTTCGTCTCCTTTGAGAACCTTTTTCGTCAGTTATTACTTATGTTAAAAGCGATGGTATTAAAACCAGGAAATAGTTAAATGAAATCGAGTATGTATGGTTGGTAGATGTCAACCAATAATTTATTAGGAACATCTTCATTTGTTTTTCGAAATTACAACGCTATTTGTTGGAATGCCTACAAAAGGTTATAGCAATCATTTTATATCAATGTTGTCAATACATAAAAGGTAGTCAATCCATTTGATACATCCATAATCTAAGAAATATTAAGATTTATGTAGTTTATTTGATCACTTCCCGTCATACTATCATATCAGAATCAGTACAAGTCTACAGCTAAGATGATCACTACATGACATTTAATAATCTAACCTTTACTGAAACAAATAATTATACTTGGTAATAAGAATTAAACTTAATTATAATTACTCATATAGTATAAGAGAAGATACATAGAAACATCATATATATGAACATAGTTACCCGTTCATAGATTGGTAGTCAATTTAAGACAGGTCGAACTATGGTTAGATTGAATCGGTGTGTTGAGCATTTCAACAATAATGTGACTAATCAACTATTTTGGTTGATGACTATAACTAACAATTATAGGTTTACTATCTGTCTCGAACTTTTGATACGGTGTCGTAGAAGTCATAAAGACACAACAGTATTTTAAAATAGAACTTACTTACTCACTCCTGCTACTCCTCGTGGAGGAATATAGGCCGCCTACTACCACTTTTTATCCAACCCTGTTCTGGGCAATCCCTTCCAGATCTTTCCAGTTGCTATTCATCCTTTTCATGTTTGACTCTAAATCACGACGTAATGTGTTCTTTGGCCTTCCCATTTTTCGTTTCCCTATAGGATTACAAGTTAGCGCTTACCTCGTGATGCAGTTTGGTGATTTCCTCAATATATGTCCTATACACTTCCAGCGTCTCTTCCTGATTTCGGCCTCAGTTGGAAGTTGGTTTGTTCTCTTCTACAGAAGGCTATTGCTGATGGTAGCCGGTCAACGGATATTACTTGAAAGTTTTTGATAATTTTGGTAGTTCTCTACATTTCAGCTCCTCACAGTAGAACTGTCTTGACGCTCGTATTGAAGGTTCTGACTTTCATATTAACTGATACTTGTTGCTGACAGTGCCATATGTTTTTCAACTGTAGGAATACAGCTCTTACTTTCCCAATTCTTGCCTTCACATCCGCATTCAATCCTCCTTGTTCATCAATGATGCTTAAAATTGTACCATTAAGTTAGTACATTTGACCATTGTCCCTTACAACTAAACAAATAATAACTCATTTCCACATTATTTTGTTTAATTTTTTAGATGAAAAGTCTTATAACTGGTGGCAAAGTGACAGTTTATCAAAGAAACAACATAAATCCTATTCACAGTGTAAGTTTATCTCTGTTATATTAATCTACACACACTTTTCTTATAGAATAACGTATCATCTTACTGAAAGTTAGTGAAAATATCTTGTCAGATATGTGTCTATGTTTCTTCGAGATGATAATAGATGACATTCATCAACGTATGATTAATTATACTTAAATTCCAAAAGGTCTGTCTTTTTGTGTGATATAATCAGGATTCCAGAAGTAAGGACATTTTCATATAGTCTTTCGATTCCGGTCAAAATAATAATTGGTTGTTATTGCGGTGTTCCAGTGATCTAAGGTTGATGAAACTTCACTCAGTAAAGCTGATTGGCTTATCTGGATTAGAATCCCTTTTTTTTGAGTCTCATGAACCCACCGCATGGACGTGATTTCGAGAGGACATCGCTGGCATCCCCGACTCTCGGCGCGCAGACGTCACATCAAGGGCAAGTATAATCTATAAGCATGCCAGTAGGACATGAATTTTCACCAATCTATCTCTTGGCATGCTTATACGTATACTTACCGTCTGTGAAAACATACGTCACATGAATACCGCTAACAAATAGGTTTTCACTCACGCATCCCTTAGCATACATCTATGTATATTCACCCACCTGGGATGGTAGATGTTCACCACTCCTTTTGAACGTAATTACCACAACTGTCTCTTACTTAATACATGCGTACCACTGGTACAAACAGTTCCATAAATGCAATTCATGATATACACACAAGCATAGGCACTTTATCAGGGAGAGTTGGTGGTCACTTATCCCTATTATTTGCTATCCTATATTTTTATTATATCTTCGATCTACTGTATTAGATCGTTGATTTTAGCACACATATGGCAGACCTTTTTTCAGCTTACATTCCTTGTGCTAACCCATGTGCACACCATTTGCATGCACGTACAAAAATCATATACACAAGCGGAGACTTGTGGAACTCAAATTTATAAACACGAGAGTCGGGCAAGACGTCACGATTTTAAAACCTTAAAGAATGAGATCCGGGTAAAGCAAGTTCATTATAGAAGTAGTGGATTGGTCTGATCTCTGTTTACCGCCCAAATTAGGTAGCAATGTTGACCTCACTATCCAGAAGAACCACATGGAGGCTTTGTGTAGGATTTTCATACTTGATAGGACATGTCTTGTACTACTGAAATGAAAGTAAGTAACATAATGATTGCTTACTCAATTTCATGCTTGAAATTAGTGATGATAAGCATAAATTATGAAAGTACTGTACTGAACAGAACACGGATGCGGACGATCGAATGTGCTCAACACAAAATTACAGGACTTGTTAATTAAATCTAACAATCATACAGTAAATGCTTAATTTGCAAAATGTCCATCAATTGTCTCAAAATGACTCAGGCTTCATTGTTCTTGCATTTTCATACAAATTGCATTCTGTTTCGATTCTTTACGGTCCGATCCTCTTGTCTCTCTGCTGCCAGACCTTCTGTTCACGACTAGCATCATATACTACTTATGTTGATTTAAGTAGCACACACCACAATACCACTTTCCACAAATTTAAAATATTACATAAGCCTTCACACCATTCAAACGAAATGCGCTAAACTATCAATTCGGAACAATACAAGCATTTTGATTTCTCTAGATCATGAAGAATATTTGTAGCTTTGAATGAGAAGGTTGAACTCATCAAGTTCTCTGAGCTGGATGATTTTATTGGATTTGTTGCGCCAACACAGCTTACTTCTTGGCTACATTATTGCAACTAGACCATCCAATTAAAAAACCACATCTCTAAATTTATAAATCTTTTTTCCAGTAGGTTAAGCGTTCGAGTGAAGGCCGTGGGTTCGAATCACTCGAGCGTGATCGTGGATGCTCACTACTGAGGAGTCCCATAATAGAACGAAACGGCCGTCCAGTGCTTCCAGGTTTTCAATGGTGGTCTAACATTAATCATTTCATGATCTCAATAAAAAAACTTAAAAATCTCCACAAGCCCTATACTGATAGTTAAACATTTCAGTTGAAGATGCTTTGTAAAGATAGATTTAATTTATAGCTTATAGCTTAGGAACTAATAAAACTCCAAGAAACCTGGACACGTGTCTCTCCCTAGTGACATTCACATCAGCTGTGTACGCTCTTGAATATTCTTAGAATCAAACCCAATACCATCAGATTTTGGTAGGAACTCTTAACTATTGGGACCACTTGAGCAGCATCATTTCCAACTTCAATGAACTTGTGATATATGGGGGTAGTAGTAAAAATAGTAGTAGCCCTGATCCATTTATAAGAATGCTTGTTTACTGATTTAAAATCACTAAATGTGATCAAGTAGCTATTTATTACCTCAAAATTCCCATAGATTCTTCAACTATTCACAATAGATAATGAAAGACATCTACGGATTGATAGATTCTCATTCAATATATTATTTATTTAAGGATATTAACGCCGCTGGATGCTGGCTCAGTGGTCTAGTTGGTTAGGCACCTGATGGGAGATTGATAGGTCCCGGGTTCGAATCTCGTGGGGGGCGCGATCGTAGGTGCGCACTGCTGAGGAGTCCCATACTAGGACGAAACGGTTATCCAGTGATTCCAGGTTTTCCATGGTGGTGGTCTAGCTTCAATTACCTCATGATTTCAATCAGTGGAATTTCCGAAATCTCCATAAAAGCCCTTCTGATATTTGAGATTAACAAATAGAATAAAATAAAAGGATGCAAATGGTATAGTTTAGTTAATAGTTCAAGAATGTAATCTGTTATGTAACTAATATTACATATCTGATTTCAAATGCAAATATGAACAATGCTACACACACCTTTCATACCATGACATTTAATGTTATCATTGCATATTATCATCATTGTTAGCATTACATAATAGTATTAAGGATTATTTGATGATGATCATGATGATGATGATGATGATGATGATGATGATGATGATGATGATGATGATGATGATGATGATGATGATGATGATGATGATGATGATGATGATGATGATGATGATGATGATGATGATGATGATGATGATGATGATGATGATGATGATGATGATGATGATGATGATGATGATGATGATGATGATGATGATGATGATGATGATGATGATGATGATGATGATGATGATGATGATGATGATGATGATGATGATGATGATGATGATGATGATGATGATGATGATGATGATGATGATGATGATGATGATGATGATGATGATGATGATGATGATGATGATGATGATGATGATGATGATGATGATGATGATGATGATGATGATGATGATGATGATGATGATGATGATGATGATGATGATGATGATGATGATGATGATGATGATGATGATGATGATGATGATGATGATGATGATGATGATGATGATGATGATGATGATGATGATGATGATGATGATGATGATGATGATGATGATGATGATGATGATGATGATGATGATGATGATGATGATGATGATGCTGATGATGATGATGATGATGATGATGATGATGATGATGATGATGATGATGATGATGATGATGATGATGATGATGATGATGATGATGATGATGATGATGATGATGATGATGATGATGATGATGATGATGATGATGATGATGATGATGATGATGATGATGATGATGATGATGATGATGATGATGATGATGATGATGATGATGATGATGATGATGATGATGATGATGATGATGATGATGATGATGATGATGATGCTGATGATGATGATGATGATGATGATGATGATGATGATGATGATGATGATGATGATGATGATGATGATGATGATGATGATGATGATGATGATGATGATGATGATGATGATGATGATGATGATGATGATGATGATGATGATGATGATGATGATGATGATGATGATGATGATGATGATGATGATGATGATGATGATGATGATGATGATGATGATGATGATGATGATGATGATGATGATGATGATGATGATGATGATGATGATGATGATGATGATGATGATGATGATGATGATGATGATGATGATGATGATGATGATGATGATGATGATGATGATGATGATGATGATGATGATGATGATGATGATGATGATGATGATGATGATGATGATGATGATGATGATGATGATGATGATGATGATGATGATGATGATGATGATGATGATGATGATGATGATGATGATGATGATGATGATGATGATGATGATGATGATGATGATGATGATGATGATGATGATGATGATGATGATGATGATGATGATGATGATGATGATGATGATGATGATGATGATGATGATGATGATGATGATGATGATGATGATGATGATGATGATGATGATGATGATGATGATGATGATGATGATGATGATGATGATGATGATGATGATGATGATGATGATGATGATGATGATGATGATGATGATGATGATGATGATGATGATGATGATGATGATGATGATGATGATGATGATGATGATGATGATGATGATGATGATGATGATGATGATGATGATGATGATGATGATGATGATGATGATGATGATGATGATGATGATGATGATGATGATGATGATGATGATGATGATGATGATGATGATGATGATGATGATGATGATGATGATGATGATGATGATGATGATGATGATGATGATGATGATGATGATGATGATGATGATGATGATGATGATGATGATGATGATGATGATGATGATGATGATGATGATGATGATGATGATGATGATGATGATGATGATGATGATGATGATGATGATGATGATGATGATGATGATGATGATGATGATGATGATGATGATGATGATGATGATGATGATGATGATGATGATGATGATGATGATGATGATGATGATGATGATGATGATGATGATGATGATGATGATGATGATGATGATGATGATGATGATGATGATGATGATGATGATGATGATGATGATGATGATGATGATGATGATGATGATGATGATGATGATGATGATGATGATGATGA